CAGAAGGGAGAAAAAAAAGAATTTTATATTTTGTACTATCAGAACTCTAGGAAAGGTTAGAAGTAATGAATGATTAAGCTGGATAAGAGAAATATTTAAGTAGAATTTATCACATTGGGAAGTCCTAGACGTAGTTGTCAAGGGAAACAGGAAGATAGATAGATTGAATCCTCTTGGTCTTGCCCTCTCTTTTTCCTGAACTTTCCATGCAGGTTTTACTGAAGGCTATTGAATTTTCTCTTAATACTTAATCTAGTCAGTAAATATTTACTGAGCCTTGCCCTTGTGTGAGATTGACACAGTAGACACCGATGTCATAACACAGCACTGACGTCATTATAATGTGTGATGTCATTATAATGTAGTGATAAGCAAGACGGGCTTTGGAATCAGATGTTCTAGCTTTTGAACCATGAGACCTTCGTAAGTTGCTGAACATTTCTAAGTCATGATTTCTTTACTTGATATGCAAATTAGGAAGAGGATCTCTCTCACTCCAGGCATTGTAAATATTACATAATAGAAACCATGCAAAGCACTTAGTATAGTCTTGCCAGTAAGGGCTCAACAAATATGAGTTGGCGGTTATACACTTTGTTACTTTTCTGAAAGAGGCTCTGGGAAGGACTTCTAACAGAACTGCTTTAATAAACGATTTTCAAAGGAGAATTTGCCCATCATATCCTGGAGTAAAAAGTCATTTTAATTTGTAAGCTTTACAACTCTCAGGATGTCCCGGTTCCCAATTAGGACCTAGCTTCTGGCCTCACCTGGAGCTCGCCTATCAGAAGTTAATGGTATTTCTGGTGGTGCAAATACTTCAGCCTATGTCCGGAAATCCAGAATTTCAAATTTTAGAAATTTTAGAGTGTTTATCAACAGTGTCCAAGGATTGCTTTTAAAAAAGATAAATTCAGCCGGGCGAAATGACTCAAGCCTGTAATCCCAGCATTTTGGGAGGCAGAGGCAAGAGGATTGCCTGAGCTCATGGGTTCGAGACCAGCCTGAACAACATGGTGAGACCTCATCTCTACACTAAATCAAAAAATTACCCAGCATGGTGGCACATGCCTGTGGTTCCAGGCACTTGGAAGGCTTAGGTGGAAGGATCGCCTGAGCCCAGTGGATCGAGGCTGCGGTGGCCATGAGTATGCCACTGCACTCCAACCTGGGCGACAGAAGAAGACTCTGACTCAGGGAAAAAAAAAAAAAAGGATAAATTCAACCATCCAGCTCTTAGCTAGAATGTCGATTTTAAACTCTAATTCTAGCATAATTTCACGGATGTGGCTCATATGGAAAATAAAACTACGTATTTCTTAATTTAAAAGAAATTCCCAATCCGTTGATGAAATAAAAGCTCTTCTCAGAACATATCTGTTCCACTAGCAAAACTGTTGGTTTTTCCTGCTAAAAGTATCTAAATTCCAACTACCTTTAGCTCTCCATGATATTAAAAACTGACTTGAGCCGGGCTCGGTGGCTCAGCCTATAATCCCGCGCCTTTGGGAGGCTGAGGTGAGTGAATTGCCTGAGCCCGCAGGTTCGAGACCCGCCTGGGCAGGTGAGACCTCATCTCTACAATAAATAATAATAAAAAAAAAATCAGCCGGGCGTGGTAGCGCATGCCTGTAATTCCGGCTACTTGGAAGGCTGAGGCGGAAGGATCACCGGAGCCCAGCAGGTCGAGGCTGTGGTGGCCGGGAGTGGCCACTACACTCCAGTCTGGGCGACAGAGTGAGACACCAACTCAAAAAAAAAAAAACAAAAAAAACAAAAAAAACTGACTTGGATCCTTCCTCCACATGGTCTTCCATATTAGACTTTGGCCTCTTTCTTATTTTTCCTGAAGAACCTGACTTTTCTCTCTCTTCTCCTGAACTCCCTCCATCTTCTTTCTTCTGTGCCAAGTCTCTACCAGGTACGCTTTTTTGTTCCCAGCTCATTGGACTTTTTGTACTGTCATTTATGACCCTTTGTACTGTGTCCCCACCTGTGAGTGTATTCTTACGTGCCCTGTATGACATCTGCTTTGGATTTTAACATTTCTTACAAAGAAATGTGTCATCTCAAAGTGCATTATTTATTAATTGCAATACTATTATGATGTAGTTGGACAAATTCCACAAAAATGTTTCATCCACATTCTGGTAATAAAAAGAGTCCATCTGACCTCTTGAATAATTTTAATAGAATACTTGACTTGAATAATAGTTAATAACAATGTATTTTATACTTAAAAAACTGCTAAGAGAGCAGATTTTAAGTGTTCTCACCACAAAAAAATAAGTACATAAGGTGTAATGCATATGTTAATAAGCATGTTTCAGCCATTTCACAATGTATACATATTTCAAAACATCATGTGGTATACCATACTTATATGTAATTTTTGTCAATTAAAAATACATTTAAATGGAGAATAATGTAGTTAAGTTACTCTTTGAAATAAGTCAATTTCTTTTTTATATCGTTTTATTTTTAAATAAACTTTTTTTTATTTTAAAGCTGTGGGGTAAAATTCAGGGTTAGGCATACAAATGGTCATTTTCTTAAACGTTTGTTTGGAGCTCACTCACTAGTGCATTTCCTTTATTTATTTATTTATTTATTCAACAAGTATTTGCCTATAATTGCTATGTGCCCAGTTATGGGCTGGGTTCTGGGTGCACAACTGTGATCCCAGCTCCTCATAGAGTTTCAAATGAGTGAAGTCAGGAGAATACTGGCATGGAGCAAGTACCAACAATCAAGTACGCATTTCCAATCTTGAATAGATGTGGTGACAGATTTCTGTGATAGGGGACTGCACGATGGACCTACTGAAAGGCGAGAGGAGTGAAACTATTCCAGGCAGAAGAAGCTATGCATATCCTCTAGCAACTGAGAGAAAACCACAAGGTTGACCAAGTAGGAATAAGGACAGGTGGTATGAACCCAGGTTAAAAGTAGATGGGGCCAGATACTGTGGGAGTTTGGGTTCTGTTCTCAGAGCAAAAGATGCTACTAGAAGGCAAAAAGGGGATGACATGACCTTGCTTATGTTGTAGAAATACTTTGGCTATGAGATGAAGGACAGATTTGAGTGGATTCAAGAGTAAAAACCAACGAAGAAGTTATTGCCTTTGGAGACACTAAGATTACTTGGGGGGAAAAATGTATATATATATATATATATATATATATATAATCAATGAAAGAAACTTCCTGTCAAAATATGTCCAGATACTGGGAGAGGAGGTGTTTCTTCATATTATGTATTGTTGTCTGTTTTATATCTTGTTTATTAAATTATAGGATTGTTTATCTGTTCAGTCAGTGTCTGTCGCTCCTATTAGAAAGTAAGCTTAGTGAGTGCAGGGACGGTGCCATGTTCCAACTCCTGTGTCTCCAGTATAGAGCCATGCCTGCCACATGGATGCTCAGTAAGTATTTGCTGAATGAGTAGTTGAAAAGAATAAAAAAGAATACTTGAAGCGAACATGTATGCACACGCACTAATGGAAACAGACATCTGCTTCTAAGAAGTTGTGATGTCTCAAACTGCAGACGCCTACACCTAAGAAGTTGTAATGGTCTCAAACTTTTGTCCACCTGTTTTTTGTGCGCTATTCTCTAGAGCCGTTTTGAACATTAGCAACCTTGGCACCTGGTTACTGGAGCGCTGCTGGGATATTGAGCCTCTCAAAATGACATTAATTGGTTTCCAGGCAATAGATTTGAGAGGAATGGATGATTGCTATTTTTTCACAGAAAAAAAAGAAAATGGCCTTTCATAGAAACCCCAAATGTGCTTTTTCCCCAACAGGTGATGGTAATTTGGAGCATCTTGCTTTACACAGGCTACCCCAAGCTCATTAAAATCTAGAAATAGGCCTATGAAACTCTCAACTCATCCATCTCCCACGGAGAGAAGGGGACCTGGGCTGGATTCTTTCTTACCTTTCTTCCTACCAGTTCACCCTGAAAAGCCTAAGTCTAGTTCGAGTCATGCTTAGCCAAAGAGACCTAGAAAGGGTCTGAGGCTCTCTTTCTGCCAGGCAATGTCTACCCCACCACCAGTCCCCTCCTTCCTGATTGTATTTGAAATCTTTTTCACAAAGGATTTTAAAAATTAAAGAAAGCTAATCATGCAGCTCTCTGCTTGACATATTTTAGTGCAAATGGCTTTCAATTAAAATGCAATCACTCAGTCATCAGGTTTAAAGGACTGATACAGATGTGGTTAGCGTTTCCGGACAGGGAGACTAGTGGAGAGAACAGTAGGGGCTTTGTGCAGTCATCACTGTGGGAGAAAAGGGTTGAGGAAGGGAAAAGATGGAGACTGCAAACTTCTCAGATTTTGCTTAAGGTGGGTCCTGTTTATCTTCAACTGGGTGGACAGAAATAAAAACTGTGCACCTGGTATTTGTGCTCTGCAGTTGCAAACCTAGGCTCTCTGTCTCATATGATTTATGAAAACGTGCTACTTTTTTCCCTTATGTGCTTGACTTCATACAAAGGAGCATTTTCCCCTGAAGATTCATTAATGAAGGTTACCCTGTAGTCTTAAAAGGAAGTCAGATGGGATGTTTAATTATTTACAGTTGGAAATATAGAACATGCTTCTGATTTGCAACAGCTGAAGATATAATTGGAAGCTACTAGAGAAAGAACAGGTTGAGGGTGTGCAGAAATTTCAAACATTAAAAAGAAAATTCCCCCCAAATTGCTCACAAATGTGAGGGATTAGTTAACATACTTGGGGCTCTCTGAAACTTTTTGGCAGCCTGTAATTTCTTCGTGATTGAGTGGTTGTGAGCTAAAAAATTACTTCCCTTCTCAATGCCATTTTGTTAGACATTTTTAACGAAGTAGCAAATCTTTGGCTGAGCAGGAAAAGCTCACTGACAGCGTGTTAGAATTTATAATCCCGGCCGACGTATCTAGTTAGTTTGTTTTTAGATTACTGCACCTATATTGTGTACAAGTATTGCTAGACACATTACTAATGCAAATACCTTTGCAGACACCTGCATGCTGTTTTCTTGCATGTTCATAATGGCTTCAGAAATCTTGACATCTATGGGGTCCATGACCGACTCAATGTTGAAGGGCCCCTCCAGTCGCTCTGCCACCAAGAGCATCGCATCTGTTAAAATACAGGAACATGGTTTATTTGTGAATGGAGAGCTGCCGGTTCTTAACCTGTGCTGAAACATTTCCAAAACAACTGGGTGAAAAAGAGCCGGGCATTAAGATTTTTTATTTGCCTGTAATTAGTCCAAAATGAAATCGATGACCACATCTTAAAATCCTATTTTATTTCAGTTGAAGATTCAGAATTATTTTACATGTCTAGAACTAGGCTTGAAAATAAGAAAATTAGTCTAAATGCAGATCATTAATCATATCGAACTATCCTGCATGAAGTAAAAACGGTATTAGGTCAGGATCAACTGTGTTTAGAAAAGGGGCTCTGACTACTCTTTTCTGGAGTCCAGAGAAGACTGAGAGAGAATCTTGGAGAAAAAGTGCTGATTTGTGAATGTGGATGCACTAATGTTAAGACCCAACTCAAGCACAGCTGCCTGTGTGAAGCGTTGCTTGCTAGAACTCCCCAAAAGAAATGACCTGTCTATGCTGTTACGCAACCTACCTGTTATGTTACCCATTATTATGCTACTTCTGCCTTGTACTCAGATACCCCTGGGGACACAAGGAAATATCTCTTACTTGGTTTTGTATATCCAAGGCCTATTATAGTGCCCATCACATTGTATGCTCTCAACAAATGTCTATCAAATTATACTGAACTGAGTGATGCTTGGGAAGAATTCATTTTCTGTTGAAGACGTTGGCTCTACTGAAAGTCTGAAAGTCACTGTGGCCTGGGCAAGAAGGACAAGTCTTTGGACCGGATCATAAGGCTGTAACATAGAGTCCTAGCTTAAAGTTAAGGAGTTGAAAATATCTCTGAGAAGGTTCTCTTCTTGTTTAAATAAAATGCTCTCTCCTCTAGCAGAACTTCTCTTGCATAGGTAAGGCAAGAAGCTGTTTGATTTGTATCATAAGGTAGGGGAAGTTTCTCTCTGGGGATTTTAATCTTTCTGTTCCAGGCCCTTTCTCAACCATGACACTTGCAAACTCATCTTCCCCAACCATGATAAAAGGACTCAGGATAATCCTCTTGTAAGCAATTGCCTCCTTGGCCTTGGAGAAAGGCGAGCCTATTGATGACTCAGCACCATTAAACAGAACAAAATGGCCATGCTCACCCAAACTGCTGGTCCCTGTATTTCCGTTCTTCACCTCAATTCATCTGCTTTATTATACAAACTCATTTTAGATGATAACTTTTTGGTGTGAGTCAGTATATATCTATTTTTCTTTTAATTTAGATCATTGGTCAAAATATGCTATTTTAAGCTGCATGGTATCTGGTTTATGTTTTTACTAATTTGAAACATCCAACGTAAATAAAAATACTTTACTAAATGAAACTAGATTCTTCTTTGAAGACACAAAAACCAGTACAGATTGGCTCAAAACTTTAGAAGCATCACTAGTGAGATCCTGTCTATATAGTTAACAGCACTGTATTATATACTTAAAAATTTGCCAAGAGTAAACTTCACGTTGTGTGATTTTTTTTACAACAATAATAATAAGAGCAGTAATGACTATTATGCTGATTAACTTCAGAAGTTCTTACTAATTTAAACACCCATGGACATATCATTAGATAGTGTGAATATACACGAATAAATTGAAATCCTATGTTCCTTTGACCAAAAAAATACACATATTATTCACTTTCTTGGAAAAGTTCAGATAAAACTGTGTGTGAAACACCTAGATGAAATAACTTGGATGCACTGATTATAGGTATACCCAGATTTTTGTTAAGAACGGGAAGAAGGTTGACACAAGACCAGAAATAGTGGTTTTAGGGACTTATATTTTTCCTACTACAAAATTGTTTGTGAAAATAAGTTAGTTGACAGAAGGCCAGATAAATCTATACAGGTAACATATGACACAAATATTTAGATGTCCATAAGTAGGAAAAAATTTTAAAAGCAAAAAATACACATATTCATAAGATATCATCCCTACCTTGGTTCCCTTTTTGTTTAAAATACACATGACATGAAAGAAAAAGCAGCTTTTCAGAAAACTCCTCTGGTATTTGGAGGACACTGTACAGGGTCATGCTTATAACAACTGCCTTGAGGGGTCAAGTTCAGACACATGACAAGGTGAGAAAGAAGCAGTCGAAGGTCAGAACTGTCCAGCCCTGGGATTCAGAAAAGGCCTTGGAGCAAATGATGGCTCTTTCCTGGCTCCAGGACCCCAACCAGGAGCGAGTCTGCGGGGTCGACTGAGCAGTCAAGCGCATCTCTGCTTGACCGGGTTGCTTCCCACCTGCAGGGAAAGTCTGTCACCAGTCAAGCTCCCAGCGTTTAAGGAGAACCTTCCTTCTACCTTGGGACTGAGGAAAGCCATGCCTTAAGGTGCCTCAGCCTCTCTTCCATCTCATCAAGGCAGTAGTTGATAAGTTTCTTTGATAAGTTTCTCTAAACTCCGTTAAGTCACAACATGGCATCAGTAACCAGAAAGCTGCCATCCTGGGCTGTCTTAATGATGCCATCTTGGTTTTGAAATATTTGAAACATTATTTTAAACTCTGCTCTTGGAGCGGTTTTCTCTTGCCAGTTAAGTAAGGACAGTTAGAGTATGTCAGCTAATGATCAGCTGATTCTTTCAGCATCTATCTCCTGGGTTGCCCAAGTTTTATTTCTCTTTAAACAAGTGTTGTCTCCCTCAAGCTGTATGCCATTTTTTTTTGTTGTTGTTTCCAAATTGGGAATAAAAATTAGATGGAGTAGACATAACTGATCATCTCAGCATGAGGTACTGAAACATGCAGAAAGACACTGAGGTGCATACCCAAAGGCCAGCAACCAGGACGCAGGTGAAGTCGCACCTCTGGGATAAGGTATTTCACTCACATAATCACAAACTTTCTGGTTAGGAGTGAGGGCTTGTGGCATCAGGTTGTCTGGATTTCATCTAGGTGTTTCTGTTAAATGGCTGGGGGATAATGCGTGAGTCATTTAATTCACAAAGTCTCATTTTGCTTCATCTATGCAATGGAGATGGTGACAATCTCTACCTCATGGCGGTGGCATGAGTAATGAAATGAGATAATGCATATTAAGTTATTAGCACAATTCCTGGCACATAATTAGCTCTGAACAAAGTTTAGCTTTTTATAAATCACCACCTCCAGGCACTTAAGTGGAAAGGAGAGGATCAATTTGCAAGGTATTTTGGTAGAAGTACTGACAGCAATTGATGTGAGGTGTAGGGAAGTAAAAGGCATAAGGATGACTTTAAGATGTATAGCTGGTGCTCTTTTGTATGTTAAATTAATCTTTTGATAATAGCTGCCTTTTGATGGATGAGTTCATTATGGAGAGACACGAAAGTGCATTATTTTCTCATAATGTGCTTCTTTGCCAATTAAAGATAGCTACAACCTCTTTGACACACTTCTCACTGAGAAGTGGGGTTTACATCTTGTCCCCTTGAACCTGGGTTGGCTCGGTGACAACTGTGACTAATAGTACACAGTAGAAATGACATTCTGCCAGTTTCCAGAGCTAGTATTTAAGAGACCACAGCTTCCATTTTCTGTTTTTTACAAGATTCTACTCTGAAATCACGGTGCTGGAGAGACCACTTGAAGGCACTCCAGGTGACAGTTCCAGTTGGGCCCAGATTTCCAGATACTCTTGCCAGGATGTTAGACATATGAGCAAATTTAGAACCTTCCAGACTAGACCATTTGTCAGCTGATTCCCACCTGGTGAACCCAGTAAATATCATATAGAGCAGAAGAATCAACCAGCGGAGCCTTGTCCAAATTTCTGATCTACAGTACTCTGATTCATAATACTATGTCTATTATTTTAGGCTTCTAAGTTTGGGGATGATTTGTTTTGTTGCAATAGAAAACTGGAGCAATCAAATGACAGTATTTATGAAATACTCAGGTAATTTCCCTCTTTTGTTTGACAAAACCCAAATATTCGGCATTTTAATCAATTAACATTTAACAAATTTAGCATTTATGATGTCCCACTCTGATACGGACATTGGGACAGTCAAGAAAAAATAAACTGTTCCCCGAGGGAACAAATAGAAAGACTTACTCTAAGTCTACAGAGCAGTATGGTACACCAAAAGCATGCCAGCTAGCCTAGGAGGGATGTGAGCTAGCATATAGAGAAGGTTTGGAAGAAGGAAGCAATTCTAGTTTTTCTCTAAGTATTGACTTTATGAAGAGTAAAGTCTCTGACATGGGAAGCTAGACATTATCCATGATCTCTCTGGATTGAAAATTATCTTCCTGCTGTTTTCAGTAAGGGGTCTCCTGAATGTTTACGCTCTTCTAGGAAATAAATATCAAGTATGCCTTTAAATGCTCTTACATATATTTTTAATTTACTTCTTTTTTTGAGTTGGAGTCTCACTCTGTCACCCAGACTGGAGTGTTCTAGATATTATAAAGATACATACAAGTATAACATATTCCATAGGAAAGTGAGTGCCTTACACGCTCCAGGCATTCATCATGTATTAGCTGATTTTTGTCTCCTCATCCTTGTTATCTGTTTCAGTGATATCAA